AAGGTCGCCACATTCAAGTAGATTTTGAATAAACATTTTGCTATTGTTCCTTTTTTCTTATTCGACCCTGAAAATCTGCGTTTATAGTGGTTCGAATGCGAACCTATGGCTATTCCGTCTATATTCCTTACTAGGAATCACTAAGCTGGAAGTGTATATATTATTAGCAACGTGGGACAAAAACACTTGAACGTGTCTACGGGAAGTCCGGGAAATTACGGGAATTTCCGAAATAAACACCAGTAAATTCAATGAACTCTTGGAGTGAAACATTGGTAAACAATGAAGGAAAATCAAACGAGAACTCCGATGATTGGTTAAGGGGAAAGGTGAAATGTGACCGACAAAAAGAAAGCCGAATCGTGGACTGAGCGTCAACAAAGGTTATTCTTTCAATTAACCACACCACACCGAATCCATGTTCAACAAGGGTTGATTCTTCAAATTTAAGTGTCCCCAAAGCCAGTCCCACGTCCAAATGGTGACAAGTTCAGTAGCCACGGTGCTATTCGAATACATTCATGCACGCCGCCGACGCTGTTCAACAGTGCACATTCTTACATATCAGTTACGGGCACACGCCCGAGGGCACTGATCGTTTAACATAACAATCATCCATCCAACCCACACAGGCATATTGCATACAATGGGTAGCATGTAAGCTGACTGCCACCACAGGCTCTCCTTACAATTCACTGCAACACACCGAATCAACTTCTGAGGCAAGCGTTATTCTTCAACTTGCAACTTGGACTCTTTAAGTCTTATGTTCGATTCGCGAAACGATCAGCAGCTTTAATGCGGTTCCAACCCATGAATGCACTCCGCGTACGCTGTTAAACAGCCTACGGTCCTACATATCAGTTACGAGGACTTACCGAGAGCACTGATCTTAAGACATTACAATCACCCATCCAAATTACACAGGCATACAACAAGTGCCATGTAATCTGACTGCCACCGCAGCTTTTACCTACAATTCAACGAATCAAATTACGAGTGAAGTTTCATTCATCTAATTTTAGTTTCCCACGTACAAATCTTATGTTCAAATCCCGAAAGGACCTGTAGCATCGTTGCAATTGGAACGAAAGCATGCAGGCCGCCGGCGCTCGTCTTCAGCGCACCCTTTTACAGTTCAGCTACGAGGAGTACTGATCTTTTCAAATCACAACCACCCATTTAAATTCAACAGGCACATAGTCCACAAAACTAAAATGCTGGAATTCTTCCATTAATAGTGGCTAAGCTGTAAAGAGCAAGTAACCTCCGGGATCACCAAATGGGTTCATCAACGCTGTCTCCTAGCAAACGGTTTGTGCGCATTTCTGCAATGGAGATGCCCTAGTGAATTGTTTGGTGTGGAGATATTGGTTGGATGGACAACTGAAAACCTGAATTGCACCGTCAGAGATGACATAAAGCGCTAGGGAATATAAACACAGTAATTTGTCCTGAGCTGGAATCATTTCTATAATGAAGTCTACAATGGCCTACCTTTGGATTGTGTTTTGTGGGCCACCATTATCCGAAAAAAAATAAAGCCGAAACATTCTCACACGTGAGTCATTCTCTTAAAAAAATATGCTTTTCGAGCTAAACAACTTTTTGCACATCGTCAACCTACATCAAGTAATTTTGCTTATATCGGGAATCCAGCCGAGTTAATGCATTGAACATGTGAAGTTTTGATATATCAGTTTTAATAGAGTGAGCGGTCTCTACAGTCTTTTCTTTTTGGTATGCGACACATGAGTTCAAATATCCGTCATCTCAAATCAAAAGTGTAAATGGAGTGGCAGACGTCATACAGTGCTAAAAATCCACCCCATTTTGATGTATAAAGCTTAACTTGATTGACTGACTGGTTCATATAATTGCGCTTTGACGAAAATTTTGCAATCTCTTGTTTATTGTGTTCGGTTTCGACAAATAGGTTGTATCCTGGTTAGAATCTGGTCGTATATAAGAATATTTATTGAAAATCTGTCGGTTCCTCCTGGTTTATTTATTTATCGATCATCAATGTGTTACAACGATGGATTCCGTAATACGCTTTCTACTCTTTTCGAACAAATAAACGTAACTGCGACAGTAAATAAGAGTAACGAAGAGCTGCATTGACAAGAATTTAATCTGTTTCTTTTCCCGTTTCACTTGATTTCGTGATGCGTTTGTATTGACTTCTAATCAGATTCTCCACTGGGTATGTTTTTATCAATCTCACTAAAGGTCCGTTGCCGTTATCTGATGTCGTGATATGTTCCGCTTTAATTAGTATACTACTCATTAGTACACAAACTTATACGTCAAGCGCTTAATTTGATGAAGGGCGGTTTATGATTCAGTGAGTGGTGATCAAACCTTGGCACCTAATGCAGTTTCACCGAAATAAATTTAAATGGACCACAGCTGAAATTTCCGAAGAACAGTGTTTTTTCGTTGTGATAAATCTCCTTGGAGATGTAAGAAACCCACGGTTTATGTGCGTTTGTGCAAAGCACAAAACTTCTACGCACCATCTTATGATAGACATGTTGTTGTTGTCAAACCGTACTGACACAAATGCAATGATAATTTACTGAGTAGCAAAGGTTAAGTGATTCTTTAAACAAACTAAGTGGCCCATTTATCCTTCAACACCGTTTACTTTGTAAAACTTAGAAGCGATTCGAGACATAGCATCCAATTGCACGTTTGACACAAAAAAACGTTTTTTGGATATTTCAGGCTCTACAATAACGATGAATACATTGTCTTTCTTGCCAATACAGTAACTTCAATTTATCCGAATCCATTTCAGTGTAAATAACCTGGTGGAATATGTGCGAAAAGCAATCGAATCAGAACTAAAATTGGATGCGCCTTTGATTCTAGATGGGGAACACTTCTGCTTGCAGAAGGTAAGGACTTTTCATGCTTCACTACCACCCCC